CAGAAACAGGAAGTAATTGTTCAGCTTCGGAATCTAGACATCATTTTCTCTGTTGCTGGAACACTGCCCTTCATCTCTCCTGCTTTCTGGGATGTTTTTGCAAAATCCCATTTACATGCACCTGCAAACTATGGGGCATGCGATTCAGGTTTTCGGAGCTGCCCGATTGCAGGCCCTTCCATTCTGAGAGGGAATCACGAGGCTCCACTTAGCCAACACCCCCTCCCAGGAGCTATTTTCGTTTCCTCCCTTAGCACACTGGCTTTGGAAGGAGCCTTCTTTCTTGTTCCTGGAACACTTTCTATAGCCCTTTCAGCAGTTGTGAGGTTGAATGTGTCCTGAGTGTGTGGTTTTCCTCCCTTCTCTGAGTGGACAGGGTCCCTGTGCACTCCCAAGTCTCCCTGCACCCACGGGAATCTGTTCAAATCTCAAGTGAGACCATGAAGGGGACCTGCCTCGGTTGACCTGTTCACACAGCTGGCTCTGTGCACTGGGCTCGCTGCCCCGCAGGACCTGGAAAATGTCCCGGTGCAGAAGGACCTTCCTTTCAACCTGCAGTAACTAACGGTTTTGTCCCTTCTGGCTGCACAAATCTTAAAGTGAGTGCAGATGCAGTGGCATTTTCTAACTTTAGGCATTTTCTACTGCAAAGAGCGTCCCAGGCCTCACCCAGAACTGTATTTATAACGTTACATTTACACTCCTAAAACCAAGGCTGGGCCAATGTTAACTCCATAACCTTGACCTTTAGAGTTGGTTGTATTTGACCTCTTCCAACATACTCTAGTGTCTAATAACACCATGCTGTTCGTGGTTTTATGATTCTAACTTATGCTCGGCAGTGAAAGGCATGACCTCCGAGGCAGGCCACCACTCAGACAAATCTCCAGGAATTTCTGTGAGCAAAAAATGTCAACCTCGAAAGGTGGCGTGTGCATAATTCCTTTTATAGAGCTGTTTTTTTTACCATTCACTGACCAGTTTATTGACCTACCTCACTGGCAGGACATGTGGCCCCTTCTCGTCACGGTTTAGAAGTACAGAGCAGGCAGATCAGTGGGTGCCAGGCATTGGGGGTGTTTGTAAATGGACAGATGGGGGGGGTCTTGTGGTTTTGGAGCTGTTCCCTGTCTTGCCGGTGGAATCCGCACAGGTGAGAACATGGTAGAGAATGGTACACACATTTGCACGCCCTCACACATGCATACAGGAGTGAGTACAGGTGCCATGGGGGGAGCTGAATAAGGTGGGTGGCTGTGTCAGCGTCTGTGTCCTGGTGGTGATACTGTCCTGCAGCCCGGTGCCCTGGGCCTTCCTGTCTTACTTCCTGCAGTTGCATCTGCAGCTCCAGCTATCCCAATAAAACTTCACTTTAATGCAAATTAATGCTGAGAATCCATGGATTCGTTGTGTCCACATAGGCTCCTCACAGTTTAGTTATTGTGTTACATGAGTGTTTTGTAGGTATTGTGTAATATACAAAATTTAATAACAGTAGATGTGTGTGTACTGATGTGGACATGTGCCAGGTGGTGCAGGGAGAAGCACCCTGGGAGCAGCGTGCGAGACACGACCCCAGGTGTGCTCATTACGTCTGTGCAGCTGTGTGGGCTGAGCTGGAATGAGGACGAGTGAGGAACAACCCTCAGCAGGTGCGGGAGCTGGACCACAGGGGGAGGACTCTGATCTTTCACTTCTGCAGACTTCGTGTGTTGTTCGCCATGAGCATGCATTACCTTTGTAAAGACATTGTACCAAAAATTGTGGTAGCTTTCATGGCTGGTATAGCTTGGTGGATTGAGTGTGGGCCTGCGGTGCAAAGGGTCACCAGTTTGATTCCCAGTCAGGGCACATGCTGGGTTGCAGGCCAGTTCCCAGCAGGGGATGCATGAGAGGCAACCACACATTGACATTTCCCTCCATCTCTCTTTCCCTTCCCCTCTAAAGATAAATAAATAAAATCTTCAAAATAAATAAAATAAAAAATAATATGACAGCTTAAGGACTATTTAGAAAATTGATAAAATTTTCTGGAATAGTGACATATACTTCTAACATGAGAGTCAGAACATCTGCAGTAACTTCAAGTGATAAGTGAGTTGTCAACTAAAGACCAATGTGTCTTCAAAACTTGCCTCTCTACCTTCCATATGATTCTGAAGAAGTAAATAATAACAGGCAAGTAAAAAAATAGTTCTTTAAACTTCCCACATAAGAAAGAATGCCCATTTTAAAATGATCTTTTTCATGTCTGGTGACTTTGAATCTTCGACAGTCATTATTTATCTAATGACGGCCGTTCGTGGAAAGTGCTGGGTTGTGGGGTTGAAAGCAAGCCTGTGACACTGCCCCTGACTTCCAGCTGCCGGCAACGCAGCCAGCAGCAGGCAGCGTGCACGCACGACCGCAGCGAGGCGGCCACAGAACTATGCAATCGCTGCACACAGTAGGTGCTGCTAATGAATGACCAGAGGGGGAGTAATTGCAGAAATCCACAGAAATCCCATGATGCTCTTGCTGGAAGCAGAAATAAGTGTGGGAATTCAGGTTTATGTGGAGAAAAGACCTACATTTAGTATGAAATGGATCAAAAGCTATGCAAGCTAGAATCTCTGCCTTACAAGAGATTGGTTTGTTTTGTGCAGCTGACACTCCTGTGGATTAGTTTTAAGATCGTTTTCAACCTAATGTATATTGTTTTAATATGTTGATTTGGGAATGGGCCCAGTTCTCTTTAGAGATTTATTAATCTCTTATTTTGTCTGGAAACCACGGAGAGCCTTTTCAAACCTTAGGGCCTAGTGTGGAAGGCAGGTGTGGGGTCTTCGAAGTACAAATTCCACCTAAAACACCTGTTATACTGTGCGGCACTCTCTGTCGGGTGAGTCCTCAGCTGCTTTTCCAGTGATACGCAGAGCGTAGAGGAGGAGAAAATACCCGAACATTAGTTACAAACATGGGCAGGTGGCATGCTGAGGATAACAGTCCTGGATGTTTGAATGCCGTGGCCGCTTATCACGCGCATGCTGGGCACACAGACCTGATCCTCTAGAATGTGCCCTTGACAGATGCCAGAAGGGGTCGTGTAAGGGCACGTTAGACCTTTAACTTCCTGGGAAGTTGACTCAGCATTTTCGTGGTCCAGTCTGGCTACAGATGGAAATGTTCATTTCATGTGTGACTCGTGGTCTTCAGTCCATTTTATTAAACAGAAAAGCAGGTAGAAGGGAAAGAAAAGCTGTTTCTTAGTCTAAGCCAGAAAACACCGGTGATTTTTCATAAAGCCCCAGCGTCGTGTGATTCAGCAGGTGGTGAGGGAGGCGCAGAAGACCGCACTCAGTAACCGTGTGACTCGGTCAGACCCAGCCGGTCAGGGTCTCGCTTCCCTTCTCTGAAACCCGAGTGCAGTGCTGTCCTGCTCCCCAACAAGGTGCTGGTGAGGGTCAGTGTGTGAAGGGCATCAACGTCCACAAGTGAGTAGCAATTCTACCGCGGGGACTCAGAAGGAAAAAAATAGCGGCGAGCATGCTCCGGGCTCCCTGGGTCCCTAGACACAACAATATATAGTTTCTGTCCCACTCAGGTGCCCCCACCCCCACGCCACCCTACACAAAACCCATGAGTTTTAGAGAGGTAGCTTGTGTCACAGATCAGAGACAGAGTCCAAAATCTAAGCCGCTTGTCAGAACAGCACACACTAGAATGTTGGGACCTGCACAGGTTGTGGCTTGTGGCAGGGGGGTGATGAGTCTCTGTGAGCAGGGGATCGGGAGCCCGTGGGACACACCTGGCAGGCTGGGCCCACGGGTTTTGGAGATTGGCTGAAATGCTAATTCATGCAGACTTCACATACATTTGCTAACCGATACAGCGGATATCCTGTTTGGAGAGTTCTGTGTATCCAAGAAAATATAAAACATACACATTTATGTATAAGTTTCTATTTCTCTATAAGAAGTTATCTCTTTGAAGAAAAAAAGCACATGCCTTTGAGATGTGCCAGGTGTTTTCTGAGAATTGTAAATTAGCAGTTGTGGGGCTGTGTCTCTTCGCTTCACGGCGGAGACAAACACACACGTTTCGGTGGACCCTCCAAGCAGCATTCCAGCCTGTGATTCAGCATTGTTTCCAGCTGTGCCAAGTTCCAGACGTGGAGCAGGTGCAGGGCGTACCCTGCAGGGCGTACCCTGCAGGGACAGCCTGGGCCTGGGCTCCACGGGGCTGTGAGGAGAGGGTCTGAGAAACTCGCCTGGAGGCCTGGAGCAGCAGCTCGGTGGGGGAGGGATGCTGTCTGTGGGAAAGGAAAGCCCGTTTTAAAGGTGGGAGTCATTTGTATGCAGATCCATAAGAAAGAGAACAATCCACACCCTGAGGATAATCATCTTGCCTGGAAAAAGCAAAAGTAATTCCCACCTCAGTGGGGCAGTGAGCAGATGCTTCAAGGTGGGCTGCACCCAGCAGTGGTCACCCGGCCTGCATCCCAGAGACTCAGCTATGCCCACTGGCTGCTCTGGGCCAGGGCCAGCTCAGGTCAAAGTCCCTGAGGCCTGGCTCTGTCCTTAGTGCTCCTCAGGGGACAAAGGAGATCCATCAAGTAAGGACAGGCAGTGTCTGCTGTGTCACAGTGCAGAGGTGGGAGGGAGGGGCTCCCGTGGTGTCACGGACACATGCATGGTGATGTCGGACAGGACCGAGGTCCTGCCAGGGGTCCCCACCACGCTCACCCCGTAAACCAAGCCCTCCTCCTCCACAGGGCGCAGCGCACAAGCCACCTTTGCCCACTGCAGGGGGTGCACATGAGCGAGAAGTGGATGTAAACGAAGTACTGAGTGGAGATGGAGAAGTGAGTGACTGGGAGTGAGTGTGCCTGCAATGATGAGTGTACATGGAGAGTGAGTGTGGATGGAGGGGTGTGCACAGAGAATACAGTGTGTACAGGAGCGAGTATGGATGGAAGAGTGTGAATGGAGAAGTGGGTGTGCACCGTAGTGAGTGTGCGCGGGAGTGAGTGTGGGTGGAGGAATGCGTGTAAACAGGGGAGTGAGTGTGGGTGGACCACTGTGCTCGGGAACGAGAGTGTTGCGGGCGCGCGGAGCCTCCCCTCCCCCCTCCCGGCGCGGGCGCGAGTCCGGGTGCGCTCGGCGTCCCCGGCGGGGCAGCAGCGAGAAGCAGCCTCCGTCCGGGTCATTCTCCTGTCCTGACCGCGGCGCCTGGAGGAGCCCAGCCGAGGCTCTGGCCCAAAGCAGTGGGCGCGCGGGAGGCTCGGCCGGGACCCCAGTCAACCGCGCCCGTGCTCTGCGGCGCCGGAGGAGGAGCCCCCGGGGCTGAGGGAGCCCCGGGCGGGGCTGCGGGAGGAGGATGGCGTCGCCCCCCGCGCCGGCCTCGGGAGGCGCGGCCCGCACACCGCCGAGCCCCCAGCGGATGCGTCAGGTGGGTGCGCAGTGTGGCCTGTGTCCTTGCCCAGGACCCCCGCCGAGCAACCGGGACCCGGATCCAGGTCCTGGACCCCGAGGTCGGGCGGGTGGGCTCCGAGCACCGCTTTTTTGTATTGATCACACTCACACACAGGGTCACGGACACACAGGGACACACGCTCATACACTCGCAGACACACACCCATGTGCACAGGAGCACACGTCTGGCGCACCAGGTGCACACCCAGCTGTCACATGACCCCTGGGAGCGGCTCTGTTACGAGGCGCCCCGGGTACCCTCAGGGGACACGCACCCCGGACCCAAGCCCTCTGAGGGCCTGGGCAGGGCGCTGGGGGCTCGCCCCACCCGCGGGAGACAGCAGCCTCGTCCGCAGGTTACGTGCGAGCCCAGCTTTCAGAGAGAGCCGCACGGACCAGAGAACATGTGTTCCTCCCCGCGTCTGTGGGGACAGGGGTCCCCAAACTGCAGGGGTGCAAGTCATGAGCGGTTTGAATTGGCCCCGTTCTGTGTATCGTGAAAAGAAAACAACGGAGTTCCCCGTCTGGCTGATCCGTGATTTGGTATCTGGCAGAGTTGGCTTTTTCCTGCCGCCGTCGCCGAGAACCACAGCATCAGCAGTCAGGGTCTCCGAGCTGGCGCAGGCGTCAGCGGGCCCAGACAGGCGGGCAGCAGGGGTCTGTCCCTCTCCCCTGACTGCAAGGGGCAGCACCGCCACTGGCAGCGGGGCTCCTGTTCAGACACAGGTGCACTGCGTCTCTGGAGCCTGTCCGGGCAGGAAGACAGTGGCTAGCAGAGCAGCCTTGCTTTAGGGCCAGGTGGCGAGGGAGAGGAACTCCAGGGGCTTTAGAATCCATGAACACAGGAGAGGAAAGTTTGGTTGACAATGAATAAGGTCTTTGCCACATTTGGATTTGAGTATGTATAGGTGGTGGTTTCTTTTTTTGGGGGGGGGGGCAGGTAGGGGACAACCTTTGCTTATGTGCATTTTTTATGCAGACTAAAAATTAATGTTCACTCCTTTTTTTATGAGACTCTGTGTCCCAAAGAAACTGGTTAAGGTTTTAAATCTATCTCGGACCCAGGACTAATTTCATGACAATGCATGTTTAATTGCACTCGGAGCTGTTTTTTTTCCTGAAGCAGTATGGTACCAGGCATCATTAAATCTATGTTTGTGACAGTTATACCTCTAAGAATGAAGGTGAAATTATCGCTATTTTCAATATAAGACAAATCACATCCTATGCAAAAAATCATTTTTATATCTATGTTTGTATGTACATTTATATAAGCATTTAAGAAGTATATACATTGATTTAAATAAAATGTATGCACTCGAAAATACCTATGAAATCTCATTTTATATTTAGAATACTTCTATTGAACTAAGAAGTATTTGTGGAAACATTTACTAGAAAATATTTGCATGAAAGATCAGTGTTGTTTTGCAGAGTCGATACTATTCACAGGCCCTTAGGACCGGAAGCTGCAGCGTCCCATAGCACTGGTGTCCTCTGTTCAGACTTCATTCACACGACCTCCTGGAGGTGCCATTAGTGACCTGTGCACTGATGAGCACAGGGTGTAGAGACAGGTTGCTGGCCACTCCAGGCTGCCTGATTAGTCCAAGCAGGTGGCCAGAAGTACTGACAACCTCAAGGCAGAGTCGCCATTTGCCTGCAAGCGATTCTGACCAAAGTAGAAGTAAAAAAAAGAAGAGAGAAGAGTGTTTTCCTGTCAAGTGTTGAAATACAGGAAGGGTCCAGCACAAATAATGCCCCATTTTTATTACAAATTCTTTTATTACAAGATCATAAGCATGTAATTCTGTAACTAAACAATATCACACTTGAGCACACCACATGACACTTCAGCCAAAATGTTTAAATTAAGACTATAAGTTATTAGTCCCATATTATTGCCCTGCCAACCACACTCGAGCAGGCGTTACTTCTGCCGAGCCCCGCATGTAGGCCCTAGTCACAGGATGCATGTTCAATGTGCCACTGTTTCCCGGACATGTTTCTCCTCGTTCTTTAATAGTACTTTTTCAAATCAATTCTGGGTTGAATGAGAATGAATTAAAATCTGAGTTCTCTTTTTTATAAACCATGGTTGAGAGAAAGAAGTTAATTGAAAAAACACAGGATTCCAAAGGAGTGAAAGTTTTTAAATTTTTAAAAATTTATTTTAGATAAAGGTGGGGGAAAGAAGAAAGAGAGGGAGAGAAACACTGATGTCCAGCGTGGGGGGTGCCCTGGCATGTGCCCTGACCGGGACCCTGACTGGTGATGTTTCACTTTGTGGGAAGACACCCAACCACCGAACCACAGTGGTTGGGGCAAGAGTGAAAGTTCTGCCCCCCTAGTCCTTCCCCCCCCTAAAAAAATATTTAAAAAAAAAAAAAAGAGTGAAAGTTCTTAATTAAAGCCACTTAATTAACATGGCTTTTAATAACAGATACACTTATTGGCCATGACCTTAATTACATATGGAAATTTAGAATTGAAAGTATTAAGAAAGGCTTTGGGTGACTATAAATATACTTAATTGGTAAATTAGTATATTTGCTGATTTCCATGAAAATATACTACGTGAAGATTTATTTATTGAGCAAACATTTGCTCAGCATAAAGTAATGTTTCATGCCATAAAGAAATCAAAAGGACAAAAATCTTACCCATTAGCAGGTGTAGGTATCGTTGATAAAGACAAAGATTAAACTACTTGAAATTTGAATTGCTCATAAAATATTTTCCACATTATCTGTTAAAACATTTATTTCTCAGCTTTGTGTTTTGACTATTCCTATAAGCCTAAAAATAATATCTAAGTTTGCATAGACTTAGAACGTCACTGTATGACTGAATTTATGTTTGCATCTATTTGATATATTTCTGATATATAGGATTTATTTTAACTGCCTAATGCATTTAAAATAATGCATTTTAGACTACATATCGCATTCCTAACCCATGTGGCTCAGTGTGTTGGGCACTGTCCTGCAAAGCAAAAGCTCGCTGGTTCGTATTTCCTGGTCAGGGCACTTGCCTGGGTTGCGGGTTTGTCCCTGGTCAGGACATGTACAGAAGCAACTGAATGATGTTTCTCTTCTGTCTTTCTCCCTCCCTTCCCCTCTCTCTAGAATCAATAAAAATAAACTAAAAAAACCCACATCGCAAATCATATAATTATTTTTATGACTAGATCTTTTGGACAAAGATTTTTTTAAGCTTTTGGAAAATGCTGATATGATATAGCTTAAAATAGCTAAAAGTAGCCCAGGGTCTCTACACAGCGAGGTTAACATCTAGGTTTCCAAAAGTAAGCAGGTCAAAGAAAAACGTACTTCAATTTCATTCTGTCATGTTCAGGGAGAAAAAACTGTATCAATCTAGTCTGTCTTCTCAAGCTCCTAATATACTAGGTACTTAATTTTTCCCCTCACCTTAAGAAAAGGGTTATTTCTTTGTTTCACAAAAACAGATGACTGTTACAGAAGTTTTGCCTACATTTTTAAGCATCTAAGTCAAACTAGTTGCCAAACTAGAACGACAGATTTTCAGCGTTCCAGTTTGTGTTTATTCTTTTGCTGACTTTGTAAAAGAAAAGGTTAGGAAATGGTAGTTTTGCAACTGTTTAATACTATATATATATATATATATATATATATATATATATATATATATATATAATGTATATTAAGATACCATATGATTCTTATGACTATTGCCATAAAATTTAAATCAATTAATTAACTGAATGTTTATTGAGATCTTGAAGCTGAGACACTTTGCTAACATCTTCCTGGACCTCACTCTCTTTCTGGTGAACTCTGAGGGGAACGTCCAGGGCATCGGTTGTTTTGAGAATTGGAGAGCTATATGACATCCTTTATAATTGGTTCCAGGAAAATTGTCTTTTTCTTGTTTCATGATCAATCCTTCCTCAAGATCTGTGGGTATTGGTGTCGTTTCATTTATGATAGAAAGTAGTGTTTCTTCTGTGCTTTCTGTAGAAGCTTAGAGACCCCCCAAGTGGTAATGATGATGTGTTTACAATGAGCCAGGCCTGCTCTGTGCAAGACAAAACTTCCCCCCCAAGACAAAACTATCCTAGGGAGGAGATATTGTCATTCCCATTTTCCAGATGAGGTAAGTTACACACTCAAGGACATAACCAGTCAGTTACAACTCAGGGGTTTAGAACAAGGTCTTACCGATGCCTTGTTTCCTAGTCAGGACTTTCAACCGTCTTCCTCTGCTGTCCCTCCTTCCGACTGTGGAGGGAGCCCCTCCCAGCATTTGCTGCTCAGGGCTTGGGGTTACCTCGAAGTTGACTACAGGGTTTACAGCACATCGAAGCAATTTTCATTACTTTAATTCATCAGATGAGAATAAATTCGATGCCAATTGCTTTTTTGAATAAATATTTTTATTTTTATATATACTTTTAAAGATTTTATTTATTTTTAGAGAGAGGGGAAGGGAAGGAGGAAGAGAGGGAGAGAAACATCCATGTGTGGTTGCCTGTATATGCCCCCACCTGGAGACCTGGCCCGCAACCCAGGCATGTGCCCTGACTGGGAATCGAACTGGTGACCCTCTGGTTTGCAGGCTGGCACTCAATCCACTGAGCCACACCAGCCAGGGATATTTTTTAATTAAAATTTTTGATGTGACATTGGTATACTGAGCACATTATTTTTGTCATTGGCTCAGGAGGTAACACAGATATGACAGGACTAGTTAAGTAAGTATTTCACAGGAAATATTTTCCCACTCAAATCTTTGTAGATCACTGTGATTTTGCTTTGCCTGACTCAGCGCTCAGTAGTTCTGGACTTGGGTTCTGCCCTTGGGTTTCTGAGGCTGTTACAGAGCTCAGGAGGCCGCTCACTGTTGCCCTGGTGGCCACATCTGTCCTGCCAGGTGAGGGTGCGAGGGGCCAGTGTGCTGTCCTTGAAACTATGCTCTGAGCGATCAGTGCCCACA